CCGTCGAAGTTTTTGGTAGTGATCAAGGGACTACCTGATTCCGCTAGAAACTCGTTTGATCGAGTTTATCGTGCCATGAATTTGTACTTTGAGGTATTCGATTTTTTTTCCTATTAGTAGCAACTCGATTTCTTGTATAATGTTGTATAGTGTTCGACTAAACTTTGATTGATTGTATTATGCTAAGGTTCACATGAGCTTGTCCGAGGAACAAAAGATTAAAATATGCTCCGGATTAAATTACGAGAAGCTATCGACCGACGCACTCGACCATCTAATTAAGAACGCGATTTTCCCTACAAAATCAGCTTCACGAGCCCTCGCCACTCGGCAAGAACAAGCAATGAAAGAGGGGAGGAAAAGCGAAAGCTCTCGGAAAATCGTCCTTTATGCTCGGAATCTCGGTTTTTCGTACGAGAGGGAGAAGCTCGAAGCCCATTTACGGGGAATGCAATGGCGAGTGATGGAATTGGAGAAGGTTTGTCGGATAATGCAGTTTCAAATGGCGAAGATGACGAAATCGAGATTGTCGAACGATGTCAGTCGTGTGTCTGTGCCAAAATTCTGTTCTTAGGATTGATTTTTCTGTTCTTTTCCCTTTTTTGTTTTCCCTTGAAATCTCATGGGACATTCTATAGTATATATGGTATTATGTAGATTGTGTATGTACATATATACCATGAGAATGCTTCAATTTAAATATAAATAACATTTATATATTTATATAATTTGAGGAGGTGTGTGTAGTTCCGTAATTTGAGGGGAACAAAACAATTGAAATTGTTGAGAGGGACAACTGATTCACACCTCTCTTGGTTTGTTGTATTTCTGTTGAATTTCTGTTCTCTAAGTACCAAATCATCACGCGACAATTTCTTAAAAACAATGCTAACAAAAATCACTAAATCAAGAACGGATAATTATTTATAAATTCCTAACTCACATTTCAATTTCCTTATCAGTCCCCATCACTTTTAAACTTCCTTATCACTCACTAAAGTTAATTTCTCTTTCCAAATCACTCCCCATATATATACTAATCTTATTATTATTCTTTTATTTTGCTTTATTTTCATAAAAAACTTAATTGAAGCTCGCCTCTCTCTCTCTCTTCGTTCTCGCCGTTTCTCTCTCCTCAAAATTCATTGCCGACCGTCGCTCTCTCTCTCAAATTTTCGTCGCCAAGCTCTCTCTCTCTCCATGCAAGTCCTCCATGTGGTGTAATTTTGATTATTGAGTTTCTCCATTCCGCCTACTGATTGTAGATCCGCCATCGTGACTTGGACTACCTCCTCGTAACCAAGCAAGCCTCACGCGCTTCACAATTTGTTTTAATTGCGCACGATGTCTTTGAACTCAATAATCTCCCCCTAGTTGACGGCAAGTGATGAGCCCGAGTATATTGGCACGAGCTTGAACTCTCCGGACGTGGCTCTGATACCACGTGTAGAAAATAAATGAACTAATACACTCAAGAGTTAATATAACAAAGTGATTTTATTATAGAAATAAATATTACAAATGTATCACACTCACAACTCACAATATATAAACACTCTGTTTTTGTAGTACAAGCACCTCACTCACTCTTTTTTTTTTTTCTTTGATCACACACAGCACACACACACTCTACCTATATTATACTAGCCATAAAAGCTTCTAGTATGTAGATTAATTATTAAACAAACATTAAAATAATATAGCTAGCACTTTCTTTTCTAGCACTTTCTTAACTAATTGATATTTCACATTGCTAGATATTTCAAGAAACTTCTTCATATGTTGGTGGTGATTTAATTAACATTATCCTCAGCATTCTGTAATGTTGTAGTCAGTTAATACTTAATACGAGTAAATAATTAAATAAGAAAAAAGGTAATGGAACTATAACAGAAGATGGAGAACAAGATTTTGAATTATGAGAAAGTCTAAAAAAATCCCAATCAACAGAACCACTCAAAAACCGAACTCAAGAGCTGAGCAGAGAATGCATGTTTACAGTCGAGCTTATGTATGTATTAAGCAGTGGCTACATTGTATTGTTAGCCAATGGCCCAATGTGATTATGTGAATGGTAGGCCACCTTTTATTACATGAATATTTCACAAAACAATCTAGTATTATTTAATACAATCTCAAATATTGCACATTTTCAAACCCAGAATCTTCCAAACCACCTGCTAGAATTAGTACCAAATAATTTACTAACAAACAAAAAACAACTCAAATTTAAGAAAACAGAGCACATTCAAATAA